AGGTTGGCATTTGTGGGTGTGGTAGGAAAGCATGTTGTCAATAGCCGATTTAGTCCGTGGTTTATAATTTTCTCATGTTGTAGCAGTTATCCTGTACGGCAGTGTAAACTTAACCCGTAGAGACTTAGGTTTTCCTAAATGGTCATAAATTGGATGGGGAAAAAAAAAAAATCATTTAAATCAACCAGTGTATGAATGATTGTGTGTTTGTGGACAAAATGACCTGGCAAACAAGTACATCATAAGTCACTTTTGTTAAAATGATCCTTGCAAATCGCCCAAGTAAGTTCTGCATGTGTCCCTGGGGCACTAACAGCACACACAAGTGAGACGGCGTTGTTGGGACTGCTGATAAAGGAACAAGTAACACTTTAATTAACTAAGAATACTAGTATGTTGCCCTGCCTATGTTGCAATTGCAGGACAAGTTGTAAACACCTATTAAAACAGCACGATTATGTCCTACTACCAAAGTTCTCTTGTCTGTCACTTTTTAAATATTCTAATCTGCGATTCTTTAAAAGCTGTCTCCGTTGCTCTTACTCTTTGGATGTAAACAGATTTGTTAAATATTTTATTTCTAACCCACACACGAAGTTACATTCACTTACATAACTTAATGAAGACTGCATTATTCATTGAACTTCTCATATAACATTTTTCGTAAGACATTATTAAACAAGTGAAGCAAGCCAGTCTAGTAATGAGTCTTCTCTAAACTTGCTGCCAGTTATGTTTCCTTTCTCCTAATCTATCACTCTAATGGTTGCAACTAATAAACTTTTCGAATCTTTGCTGCTAATCTGTATATGTTTTGCATTGCATGCTGGATGTATAACTTGACAGAGAATTTACAATACAAACCACCTGGCAAACAAAACTAGCTGGATTAAACGAACGCTATGCAAATCTACCCACTCTTTTTTGTTACAATAGAGAAGACAACTACATGCAACATAGTACCTTTAAGCCATTAGTAAAGTAATTAATTTGGGGCTAGAACACACCCTACTGAGCGGTATGTCCCAGACACTTGTGGCTGCCTTTCATAATTTCAAAAACATTGCCAAAAGCCAATAGACTGAAGTTTGGTTTCCATGAATTTTCAGCAGAGACACAGCCTTGTATAGGATCCTATAGGCTTATATAGGATCCTGTTAGACTGTTCTGGGAGAGATGATATGTAACAATTTTAAGATTAAGAAACTCTGCGATGGGTTGCTTGCACTTAGGCTACTTAACCTGTATTTGGGACTAAGTCACAAGTAGTTGGATTTTCAGGGAGCTTAAGCAGTGCATCTCCCTTTGAGACAGACAGCAAATTTTGAGAATTTACACCTCATTAAAACCAATTCTGATGCTTAAAAAAAAAAAGAGAGAGAGAAGGATCTAGGGGTCTAATTTCACACATATTAGTTTTAAACAACTGGAGCATATTCTTTTATCAGCATCGACCCTGAACACCTCTGCCAATGTGTAGAACTAACAAAACATAGCACTGTTCAGTTCTCAAAGATGACTAGACGCAGATTTGTAAAAACAGACTTAATAACTTCCTATAGCACTTAGGAAAGTACCGCTTGAAAGTCAAGGATGGAATATTTTACATATTATTAAGTATTTTTCTTGGTACCTCTCCAAAGGTTATTCTAAATCACTGACTAGAATACAATAAGAAAACATACAATAGGTTCAAATAGGGTAGAAAGAAGGCAACCTTTTTGTCAGCTTCTCATCTTGCAAGGTCCAGGAAAAGATTCTTGTAGTAAAGGCACAAAATAAGATAAAATGTCAGAAACGTAAGTGCAAAGCCTTAAGTATACAAGGCTTCAAATGATACTGTCCCATCGAAAGGTGCTTTTATGAACAGAAAAGAAAAATCCTTTCCTGGCTCAACCGCTGAAAGTAACGTGAAAGTAACATGAAAGTAACGTCCTAGTTCCACTAGGACAAAATAAATAAATCTGGTCAAATTGTTTTTAATCAAGCAATATATTTTTTTTATTTCCAATGAGTCTTCAGCATTCATTTGCACATTTTTTCCTTCCTCATACAAGCATTACCAAAATTCACTATTACCTGTTCCGAACTTATCTGAACATACTACTGCCTTTCAATCAGGAATTGATTTATCAAGTAGCATTTCTCAATGTCAATTTACACCAATGTCATTCTTTGAGGTCATTTTCATTCAAGAATGGATATAACTCTGTGCTGTTAAGAACCACATGTTTAGCATCGCATGGAGACTTCTGAAATTCTAAGCACCAGAGATGCTGCTGGATGGCAGGAGCTACTATTCACATGGGTTTAGGAGAAGCATGGGTTCCAGTAACCCACCTTGCCCTCAGAGAAGAACCAGCATGCTACACAGAAATCATGGGTTTCTACTCCAGGACCAAAGCATAGCACCTGCTGAATCACGTGAATTTTTTTTTCAGAGACCTAGTCAAAGATTTTTCTTTTAAATGACAGGTCAACTAAGAGGAGGACTATGAAATACCCCAAAAAGGCCCAATTACAGGAAGGGAGTGAGCGCTCCCCACCAAATCTGGCCCCTGAACGTGTGTCCGTTTGTGAGCCTTGGAGCACCAGTCACTTACAGTAACACATGGTAACGCTTCCGAAAGGAAAGCTAGAGCGTGGCTCTGGGACCCCCCCGCCAGCGGCGGAGCAGGCTGAAGCGGCTGATTCCCCTTCCTGCCACCTCCATCGCCGCTGCAGCACCCAGCACAAACAATGTTCGTGCAGGGAGCTGGAGCGAGGACCTGATCTGCCAAAAAAAACCCAATTAATTAGTTTTTTGGTAGATAATTTTTCAGCAAGATCAGTGCCTGGGTCCAGCCTAACAAGGGGGGCTGGAGCTGCAGGAGCCAGTCAGCCCCTAAATAGCAGCCACAGCCTCAGCGTGTGCCCACACCAGCCACTGCTGAGCAGGCAAAGCTGCAGGTAATCACACTAGAGCTCACCTGAAACTGGTCTGCAGCCAGCATCTAAGCTGTCAAGGTACAGCTGCACAGAAGAGATTAGCAGGGGTTGTAAAACCTGTTCAAGAAGTTGGGCAAATATTTTAGCAATTAACCCACACTGAGCTCCGTATTACTGCAGCTACACTGCTACCATTTCTGGGGATAGTTTGTTTAAAGCTAACTCCCAGACGCCTAAATTACACAGCAGTGACAGACCATTCAACTACAGAGATAAACTATACAGAGGCAGTGCCCAACATAGGTTATGTTGCCATGATTTACAACAGCTGAGGATGTGCCCCCAGATGTCCAGACAAAATCAAATTAAATATATGATTTTTCTTCTCTCCAAACATGAAAGCCTTGCAAACATGACTCAAAAATAAAAGAGACAGAAAAATGCATATATCACCTTAGACTTACACTGTGAGTGTTCGTATTCTCTAGACAGCACTTAGATTCCCGTTCTTTATAAAAACAAATTACGAACTAAAATAATATGAAGACCATGCAAAAAGTTCACACATATAAAAGACTTCAATTAAAAACAAACAAAACATTTAAAGAGTATCAGCATCTATTTGGATTTGCAGAATGTTTTAATGTTAAGGATGAAAATGCTAACGAGGGATACCAAGACAAGAGTCTTGCTGTTCTCTAAACTCCAGATCACCTCCAAATTGGGATCAGGGTTTGCAATTTTCTGCTACAATATTGGTAATAAAGGGGTCTTAAACTGAGATTATTAATCAAATGCCTGAAAAGCATAATGGTATAAGATGTTTGCATAATAAAAATTATTTAAAATTTCAAACATTGCCAAGAATGCTCAATCTAAAAAGAATCTTTTGTATTTTAAGACTACAAAAGATTGAATATGAAAAAATCTTGATAGATATGTTCACATGTAGGTTCTGTCTAAGGTCTTACATTAGAAGCGTATATATTTTAAATGCTAGCTGGAAGCACATAAAATGTATTATAGAAACACTCCTTAAAAAAAATCCAAAACCTCATAGATGCTATTAAACACCTGCAGTGATTTTGAGCAACTTAACTCCATCCTTAATTTTGACCTTGGAAGAACATAATGAAAAAGTGACTGTTTTCCAGAAGCAAACAAAAAATTAAATTAGTCTATATGGTACTATAAGTGTTTGTGACACCGAATTACATTGATTTACTTTGTAGATGTTTATAGAGCCAGCCTATGTTGTTTGACTTTTGAGGGAAGACTAATAGATGTAGTAATGTGAGGCAGGGGGTGGAGGGGGCGGCAAAAAAAGGGTATAGTTAAGCCAAAACAGGGGTCATGCCTAGGGCATTTTATCTGCCCCGCTTACACACCCCCGGGGAATTGCAAATCAACAGTTGATTCCCTGTTAATCAATTCACATTAGTGCCTGCCTTTTAGTTTTCACTTTGCTGAATTCCAGGAAAGAAGTTCTTAAACCAAATGCATGCTCTATCTCTGACCTAGTCGGAGCTGTCACATTTCAAGAAGAAATCCCAGCAGATTTTATTTGCTCTACCAGCTGATAAGAGACACCTTCGTAAGTAAAGATTCATAGCCAGCAGACTCAACACAGAACAAGATCCAGTGGTCCGTTTACACAGGCCAGCAGTAATAAGAGAGGAGAGAACCTTTATGGGTTTTTTTTTTCTTCAACCTATTTTCTCTAGCTACAGAGAAAGACTCATTCTTTTGCTTCCCTCTAGTTTCTTATTTACTATGGCTCAAGATTATGTGCTTGATAAGAGACTTGTACCACTTCCTATCACTCCATACCGTTTTCCACGAGTGTGCATGTTTTTGCACTGCTCTTGCCACGTATAGGCTAAAATGTAAAACAATTTACTATTCACAAGCGAGAACCACATTTGGGGTGGGAGGCAGGAGAGCGTTATGAGCACAGAAGTAGCAAATAGCTCATTCAGAAAAGCAGATCTGACTTTACATCCAAACCCTTTAGGATCCACTGGTACAGCTACTCTCTAGCATACACGCAGATCTTCATACAGAGGATCATAAAAAATAAACTTTTATTATCAAACTTAAAATTCATACATTAAACATAAGATCTAGACACAAATAATACTGAAAACATTCTCAAACAATAACCATTTTAGGTAATTTGGATGAATAGCTGGTTACCATTGTTTCCAATGCCTTTAGAATATTTCTGAATACATACACCCTTGGAAAATGTCTTCAAATGCTTAGCTGGCCAGCTTTCAATAAGATTTTTAAATAGGGGAAAACTTATTTCTATAGAAATAACATTATCTAATTATGAATCGGAGACCCATAATTGTAGTGCTTGGGGAAAAAAATATCATAGCCTTTTGAAATATTTAGAAGACATAAATAACTATTGTACATTTACAAGTTTAAATATTTGAAGGCCTTCATTGCTATAAAAAAAGTTACTATGTACATAATTAGATGCTATATATAAATCCAGCCAGAGGCAAGCATTGAGCTCTCAGATTTGGCCACTGAAACCTATGAATTTGGTAGGCAGATTGTCTACAGGGTACACTATGGGGCCCGTTTTCATTGTAGGAGGTCCATTCAGCAGCTGCCAGTCACAGCTCCGAGCCAACTCCACTGTAAATATTTTTAGAAGGACTTTTGCAAACTCTTTGCCCACGCAGCTCCTCAAGCCCCCACCAAAAGGAATAAAACTGAACCTAGAAGAATCCTCTGGAGATGGAGACATGAAGCGGTCTGGGTTAAATTCCTCCTTGTTAGTAAAGAGATCTGCCACATCATGGGTATCACAGATACTGTAAATAACATTCCAACCTTTAGGGATCTGGTAACCCTATCAAAAGAAGAGAGAGGAGACATGAAGCGCCTTGCTATGTTAAATAAGGTGAAGTGGCAGCACAGGACACATCCGTGCACCCCACCTCCCCTCCTGGATCCCTGCAGGTCACTAAGACAGGTAGGCTACGGGAACGCACTAGTACTTTGTAGCTGCACGGAGGAGTCAAGCCCAAGTCCCGCTTACATTTAGCTCAAGGGTCTTGAGCGCAATTCGAAATCCTCCAGGAACAGGAGGGCTCAGCCTGAGGGTCTCTTTGATGACACAGCCCGTGTACTTCAGCTGCTCCAAGACCTCCATGTCCAGCTGCTTCTCTTGGTTGGGACTGCACAGTAACCCCTAGAAAGGAAGATGCTGCCGTGACTTTTATGGAGCAAGTGGCCAGGGCTCCAGCACTGCAAAGCAGCTGCCCCTCAGCAAGTGGTGTTTTCCTGCCAGCCCCTAAAAGAAGGGCACCATCGGGGTTGAGGGGAGCCCTGCCTGGGACACCTGGCAGGTACCTTCCCATTGCCTGCTCCTGTGAAATGGCTCCAGGGGAGGCACACACCTTCACCTGCAGCTCCTTCCTCACTTTCTGCAGGACATCGTGGTGGAGCCCTAGGAAGGCTATCAGTGACGTGGCAGCGCTAGCAGTGGTTTCGTGGCCCCCAAACAGCAGCTCTGTGGCAGACTCCTTCAGCTCCTTAGGCACAGGACAGAGGAATACAAAACAGGTCCTGAATACAGTATCTCCACCAGGCCCACTCCACATCCTGTGCCTCACTCCCAGGTTGGAGCAGACACCCAGGGGCCAGGACGGGAGTGGCGCTTATGCTCCCTGGGGACACGGCCCTGGTCCTGTGCTCCCCAGCCAACAGCCTGGTTGCAGCCTCTTGCACCCCAGTGCACTACACAAGCTGGTTTATTGTATGGGGAGAAGGGGTTGAGCCTCCTGCTCTCTTCTTTTGGCCCCCAAAAGATAAGCTTGCTGCTGACAGAGTGGCTGGGGGAAAGGGGCAGATCTCATCCTGGGGAACCTCACCTGCATGTTGAGCTGCTCCCCGTTGCGCTGTGTGTGCTCCATTAGCAGCTGAAGCGCATCCTTGTATCCACCCTCAGGTTCCTTGGAGGCCATCTTGGCACGGATGTTCTCCTCGATCTTGGCATGGATGATGTTGCGTGCCCGCAAGCCCTGGCCAGGCAGCAGGGAAAGCAACGTGGGACTTAGGCCGATACTGCCATCCCTCCCTCCCACTCCCCAGGCTGCAGGGGCACTCCTCTCCTCCCGACCACCAGAAGCCTTACCCGGTAGAGCCCGCTGAAAGGCATATCGATGGGGAGGGAGAAGAGGTTGCGGATCATCTCCTCAAAGGCCTCCACCAGCTGCTGCTCGCCGTCAGGGCTGGCCTGGTGGGGCTGGAAGCCTAGCAGGATCCTCATGGCGATGCGAAACATGAGGCGCTTCACCTCGGGGTACACCAGCAGGCAGGGCCCGGCGGCGCCCAGCC